CCGCGCCGTAACCTTCGTCGCTCGTAGCGCGAGGTCCGTCGCGGTGCGGAGTTCTTTGAGAACTTCCGGGTCGTGACCACCCTTGTGCAAGTCCCTCAGTGCCTTAGCCTGGTGCACTTGCAATAACGCCGAAGCGTGTAAGGCGGACGCAGCTTCTCCACAGGCCGTATTAGCACTGCCGATCAAGGCCGACGAGTGCCTACAGGCCCGGGATGGGAGCAACGGTTTGCCCCGCCAAGTGGTAGCGGCATTTGGACACAATTGCATCGCAACCGACCGCTCCACTGCCACTCATGCTGGGAGCATGAGTCATCCACGAAAGCCACCTCAGCGTGCTTCATGCCCAGGCACGAGAGGCAGCGATCGTGACCATCACCCAGCGCCAGGTAACGACCGCACCCATAAACACACGGATGGTAAGAAATCTTTAAAAAGACGTTCCACCCATGAAGCTCTTTTAGCTGGAAATTGCTCTTTTAATGTGCTGAAGCGCACAGGGGAGATGGCCGTCTGCAACACACACAGGGTCCGATGTGACGTCGAGAGTGACCGACTGAAAGGGAATTGTTATTTTTGGGTGAACTGTACTGAATGCACGCTTTGTGTTTTTGGGTTGTACAGGTGGAAATCCCTCTGTCGTGTCTGCAGAGATCTCCTCTGCTGCAGGGCTGGTTTCGTCTGCTGCCGCTGGGAAACACGGAGGACGACGCCGGGTGTGTGTGTGTGTGAGAGTGTGTGTGTGTGTGTGTGTGTGTTTGTGTGTGTGTGTTATACAGTCACATTCATTAGTCACATCGTGTGTGTGATGGTAATTTAATTTAATGACGAGCTGCTTTTACGTCACATTAAGGAAGTGAATTCACTGAGAATGATGTCCACCCATTGATATTGTATCCGATTCACTAAAGCAAGGATTCCCAAACTTTTGTCAGCCGGGTGACTTTAAGCTAAACCATTTTCTTGAAGTATCCCCTAAAATTATTATTTATATTTTTTATAATTTTTTGTTATTTTTTGTATTATATTATAATTGTTATATATTATAGATTTTTATTATAATTTTATATTATATGTTTTCTTTTATATTTATATTAATAGTAAGTGTTAAATATTTAATATGAGTGTTTTTATGGGTAATATATTTAATATATGTATTTTAATGGATTTTATTAAAAAAATTATTTATTTATAATTTTAAATGTTTTCATTTATTAAATGCACTGCAGAAATCATTTAAGTACTCAATATTTTTGTCTTGCTTTCCAGTGCAAATATCTAAACATTCTTAAATCATATTTACCTGAGATTCAAAATACTGAAAAATTAAGTGAGTTCATGCATAAAACAATGTTTTATGTAATTTTGATGATTTTTTTCAGTAAACAAGGCTTAATATCTTAAGTCATTTTCTGACCCTATTGACAAATATTTGTTCTTATTTTAAGCAAAAACTGACTTAATTTTGATGATTTTTTTCAGTAAACAAGGCTTAATATCTTAAGTCATTTTGCATCTCAAATGTATCTTGATTTAAGAATGTTTAGATATTGTACTGGGAAAAAAGCCAAAAATACTAAGTAAGAATATTTTTCTGCATTTTTTTGCAGTGTAATTAATTAAATGAAAATGTTTAAATGAAAAATAAATGCATTGTAAAATACAACCCACCACAATAAAACACTTAACACTTATTATGAATAATAAATATTGTAAAAAATTATATATTTATTTTACCTGCATTTCATGTGACCATTAACTGCCATGTGAATGTGTCATTAATTAGCTTTCCATTACCTCATGAACCCTAGTTTGTGAAACCCCAGACTAAAGGAATCATGCAAACACCCAAAAAAATGCATTTTGCACTCACAGGCCGGCTCTGATGATTTAGGTTGAGGAGGATAAAACACAATATCTAGTAGAGTGAAAGTGCTGTCTCTGTTTTTCTGTGTTTCAGAGGTAAACTGGGTGCTCTGCGTCTGAAGGTGCGTTTGGCCGAGGAGAGGATTCTTCCGTCTGTGTACTATCAGCCTCTGATTGAGCTGCTGGTGGAGGCCGTCATCTCGCCGTCAGAGGTACATCACACACCTGTCAGTCTCAGACCTCACAGATATCATCGGAGGACATCATTTAGTGCTTCAGCTTTACACCAATAACAGATGAAACCTAGAACCAAAAATAATGAGGTGAACCACAGTGATGTAACCATTGTCAAATTTAGTTTAAATTTAGTTACATTCCTGAACTTGAACAGAAGCTGAATTGAGGCGGTAAACAGAATGCATAATCTTAATTTAAATTTGAATTTCATTTAAAGGGGTCATATGATGCGATTTCAAGTTTTCCTTTCTGTTTGGAGTGTTACACTAATGCAGGCCTAAAAACATTCAACATAACATCTAAATCATGTTCTGTGATCTGTTGAATTCCTCTTCCTGTCATTCCAATTAAACATCCCGTGTGAATTGCACGTTCTTACGCTGTGAATTGTGCCCGATGCTGTCAGGTGGATGAGCCCACACCCCTGACCCTGCTGGAGGAGGTCACGACGGTGGAGAGCCGGCAGATCGTGGCCATGACGCTGGTCAAGATCTATCTGGGTCAGGGTCTGGTCGTGCCGTTCCTGGACTACCTCAACACCAGAGAGGTCCACAGCACCAGTACGTGAGCGTGTGATACGTGCGTTTTCTGTGTGTAGGCGACGTGACGACTTCAGTCCAGCTATATTTACCCACAGAAGTCATCTGAACTTCTCCTCTCTCATTAATGATGTTTTGTGCTGTGCGAGCGCGTGGGTTGTTCACACTCGGCTGGGGTTTTATGTTGCGTTTGTGATGACAAACAGAGTGCCTGCGTTTCCATAGCAACTCCGCAGGAAGCAGCTTCAAAAGGAAACGGAACGATCATAAGATTGGAATGTTCGTCAGCGAGCGACAAAACCGTCGCGCAAGTTACAACTCAAGCAGAAAGAGTTTTAATGCATCTATATCAGGGTCTTTTCTGTCAGATATGGCATCATGATTATAGACTTGATTTCAATAGATATAATAAATAATACATTTAATTACTAATTTTGAGTAGTGTTTGTTAAGGCAAGACACCACAGGTGAATAAGGTCCAATTATACTAACTGAGAACCACCATCCTTTCCCTAATTGAGTAATTACAGTACATTAAGACAAACACAAGTATTCTGAAACGTATGCAAATTAGGCACTGTCTAATTAATTATGCGCTAATTTGCATACATTTCCAGAACAGAAATCTAAACATAGGATACATCCAAAGTCTAATTATTGATTTATTTTGTTGATGTATCAGAATTAAAGGGGAGGGGATTTTGTATTTCTCCTTTTATCTCTCCATAAATCAGAATATACTGTCAACAGACAGAAAAACATACATTTTCATTTTTACTTACTTTTTAATGCAATAAAAGCATCTGCTAAATGCATAAGTGTAAATGTAAAAATACTGTAGTACTGGGAAAACATCACATTTGATTCAGAACATGCAAAAAAATGTAGTTATAGATAATAAATAATGAAAAGTACAGTATAATTTTGATAGACTTAATTTTGCAGATTTATGTATGATTAAGGCTGCATGATTTAGGGAAAAAATTTAAATTGTGAGCTTTTTGAGGGGAAAAAATGTGATTGTGACTTAAAATATGATAAAAAAACAAAAAAAACAATCCAGTTATAAATAATAGAAAATATTAAAATTACTAAATTAAGACTCCTTGGAATGTGTTCTGATAATAATAGTAAAAAAACAATAATAAATTAAAACAAAGTAATAATAAGAATTATTATTATTTATATAATGATAATTTATAAATAAATTGCTATTTTATAAATAGTTATTATTATTATTATTAAATAAAAATATTGAAATTACTAAATCAAAATCAAAATGAAAAACTACTATTGGACTAGGGCTGCACAATTTTGTTATTATATCAATATGGCTATAAAATAATATTATTGCATTATTATATTAGTATTACTATTATTGTTAGTATTAGTATTATTACTAAATAAAAATATAAACATTTCTAAATTTAAAAAAACAAATGTTACTATTATATAATATTGCATTGTTTAAAAAAATAATGAGCATTTAGGAAAAATATTGTCATAATAATATAATTTTATTTTACATTATAACTGTAAATTTACAATGCTAATATTGATGGCAGTCTTAATTTCGTAATTTTTCAAACTTTTTCAAACCATCAAACAAAAATACTTAATTAAATCTCAGCCTCAGCCTTTAATTAATTAATTGGTTTTATTACGATTCATCATGCAGCCTTGGTTACCTGTACTTACTTTTTTCTATGGATGACACTCGTAGTAAAATATATGCACAGATGATCATTTCTGGTCGGGGTTTGTTCTGATGGACTCTGGAGGAAGAAACACATGGACTTGTTTTCTGTTTCTCCCCAACAGCAGATCCAAACACACTCTTCCGGTCCAACTCACTGGCCTCCAAAGCCATGGAGCAGTTCATGAAGGTGTGTGTGCACCTTCCTCTGAAATATAAGCTTGTGTTTTTAACGTGTGACTGTAGTCAGAAGGTCCGTGTGTTTCTCAGGCCGTCGGGATGCTGTATCTTCACGAGGTTCTGAAGCCCATTATCAACCGCATCTTTGAGGAAAAGAAATACGTCGAGTTGGATCCCTGCAAGATAGACCTCAGCCGCTCCAGGTGTGTAGAAACACACACACACACACACACACACACACACAACACGGTAGTTCATTCATGTAGTATATCATCAGATGAAAGAGCCATGATCTGGAAAAATAACTGTGTTGCCAGGCAACAGCAGTGAACTCTCCAAACTTTGGCTTTTAGATCTATGTATAGCATGAGAAATGTCACTGAGCACCAAACGTCTCCAGGTTTTATATTTGAAAAATATTATATACACCGCCTTTCAGAAGTGTGGGGTCGGTATGATATTGTAATGTTTTTGATAGTCTCTTCTGCTCACAAGGCTGCATTTATTTGATATTTGAAATACTGTAAAAAAAAAAAAAGTGTAATATTATTAGAATTTTAAATAAAACTTATATTTAAATATATGTAAAATATAAAAAAATATTACTAACATTTAAAAAAAACTGTAAAATATTGATAGAAATAGTATAGGACAGTATGGGACAGAATCTAAATATTCTAAATATTTGTTTATTCCTTAAATTTACAACTTTTTTATGTATACACCACCGTTCAAAAGTATCGGGTTGGCAAGATTTTTTAATGTTTTATAAGAAGTCTCTTCTGGTCGCCATTTGGTCATGCATGTATTTGATTAAAAATACAGTAAAAACAGGAAAATTGTGACATATTTTTACATTTTAAAATATCTGTTTTCTATGTGAATATCTGTTAAACTGTAATTTATTCCTATGATGTAAAGCTGAATTTTCAGCATCATTGCGCCAGTAATCTCCTTCAGAAATCATTCTAATATGCTGATTTGCTACTCAAGAAACATTTCTGATTCTCATCAATGTTGAAAACAGTTGTGCTGCACAATATTTTTGTGGAAACTGTGCTACATTTTATTTTTCAGGATTCACAGATGAACAGAAAGTTCAAAAGAACAGCATTTATTTGAAATAGAAATCTTTTCTAACATTATAAATATCTTTACTGTCACTTTTGATCAATTTAATGCATCCTTGATTAATAAAAATATTAATTAAAAAAATCTTTTGAACGGTAGTGTATATACATTTTTATGTGACATTTTTATCTGAAACCAATGATAACAATAACCTCAATTCAAGTAATTGTGTAGTAGTTTCTATGAATTGAAGTGCAGAAAAGCAAAGAAATGCATGTAGGTTCTGCAGTCAGAATCTCCTGTCTGAAAGCAACGCAGAACACACAGATGTGCGCAAGAATATCGTGTTCGCTTGCTAAAAAATGTCTCAAAGAAGCGGGGGATTCACTAAGAATGAGATGAGATTCACTGAAGGAATTATCAAATCAAGAAACGACTCAAACATGCCAACAAAATGAGCGGCGCAGTTGTTCCTATTTATAAGAAAATGAGCGAGAGGGACCATTTAGATGCACGGTTAAAAAAACACAAAAAAGTATTTTAAATAAACCTCCTTACTGTCTGCTTTCAGCGACTGTTAATAGCACTGGAGTTTTACTATAACGAGCCTCATTTGCATAGAAAGAAAGAAAAAATCACAATGACTTGCTCACTGATGCAGCCGGGTAATATCTGCGCATCTGAAACCACGCTCTCTCTCCAGACGAATCTCGTTTAAAGGCTCGGCGTCGGAGGCCGAGGTCAGGGAGAGCAGCGTGGGGCTCCTGCAGACGTATCTGAGCAGCATCATGGAGGCCATCGTCAGCTCTGTCTCCCAGTGTCCTCCTGTGATGAGAGTCGTCTTCAAACAGCTCCATAAACGCGTGGAGGAACAGTTTCCAGAAGCCGAGAACGAGGTGAGGATCTGAACAGACCCTCACAGTGATGATGATGATGATGATGATAATGGTGTGGTTTTCCTCACGGTTTGTCTCTCGTAGGATGTGAAGTATTTGGCCATCAGCGGCTTTTTCTTCCTGCGTCTGTTTGCTCCTGCGATTCTGACGCCCAAACTCTTCCAGCTGAGAGACCATCACGCCGACACCAGGACCAGCAGAACTCTGCTGCTGCTCGCTAAGGTACATTCACATCTCAAATTCAGCTTTATATTAATAAAATGTGCAATTGTCCATTATATGCTCTCTTTAATGAAATTGCACTCCCAGTAAATTATAAAAAAAAAACACCTTCCACCGATCTAGCGCTGCCTTGAAATGCACCTGGGAAGCTCCTACTTTCGAGTTGGGCATTCATTACTATGACATGTTATGCATTCATGTTGGAAAAGTCATAGTTTTTATTATTTCCTATTTTGTTTATTTTTTTTTTACATATAATTTTCATTTAAATTATTTATGCATGCATTCATGCTGGGAAAATCATATTTTTAATTTTCTATATTGCTTATTTTACATTTCATATTTTATTTCATTTTAATTTTAATTATTTATGCATGCATTCATGTTGGAAAAATATTATTTTACTATTTTCTATATTGCTTATTTTACATTTAATATTTTATTTCATTTTAATTTGAATTATTTATGCATGCATTCATGTTGGAAAAATCATATTATTTTACTATTTTCTATATTGTTTATTTTACATATAATTTTAATTTCAATCATTTATGCATGCATTCATGTTAGAACAATCATAATTTTTATATTATATATTGTTTGTTTTATATTTATTTTATATAATTTTCATTTCAATCATTTATGCATGCATTCATGTTGGAAATACAATTTTTATTATATTCTATATTGTATATTTTACTTTTATTTTTATATCATTTTTACTTCAATCATTTATGTACAGTAATCATTTATATATTGTATATTTTACTTTTATTTTTATATAATTTTCATTTCAATCATTTATGCATGCATTCATGTTGGAAATACTTTTTTTTATTATATTATATTATAATATATATTTTTTATTTTACTTTTATTGTTATATAATTTTTACATCAATCATTTATGTATGCATTCATGTTTGAGAAATCATCATTTTTATCATTATATCATTTTAAATTTTTTTTACTTTTCTAACATGTCCTGTTTCAATAGAAAATGCATAAACTCAGGAAATAAACATGCATTTATCAGTGCATTTTATGGGATGTTTTAAGGAATCAATTTAGGAATTAATATTGTCGTAGTTTGCATTTAAAATATAGGACGGTCTTTGAATTTGAAATGCGAAACATGCAGGCGAAACTTCAAATGCACTTTAAACATACACAAGCGCAACTGATTGAATGCTGTCACTGTGGCCATAATGAACTTCACGGAATGAGGGTTACTGTCTGGACACGATCAACTCTGAAGCACTTGGATCTTCAAGCAGGCATTTCACTAGTTTAATCAATGGCACATATGCAGTGTAAACGGGTTAATGACATGCTGTCCGGTCTTCACTCACCCACTCACACCTGCAGAGCCGTGAGCGTCTCTCTCCGTCTCTCTCAGGCTCTTCAGAGCGTGGGGAACCTGGGCCTTCAGCTGGGTCATGGGAAGGAGCAGTGGATGACCCCTCTGCATCCCATCATCCTTTGCAGCGTGGCGTCCGTCAAAGATTTCCTGGACAAACTCATAGACATCGATCACAGCAACGGTGAGTCGCCATGACGACTGGCCACAGATATCACAGCAACGTATTACCATGATGACAGACTGAGGCAGACAATTAATTATAAAGACTATTTACTAAAAATACTTCTCATTAAAACCTGAACCAGGGTTATTATGCTGAACTAAAACCTTAAAAGCATTTTCACAACATGAAATACAATAAAATCTAAAACAAAACAGCTAGTTGCCAAGGCAACATTTCTCATTTTCATTTAGTTTTAGTTGAAGTACTAACATAAATAAAGTAAAAGTATAACTTTATAAAAACTAAATTTCATATTTAAAAAAAAAGATAAAAATGATAAAAACACACAACAAAATTACTAAAACTTTAACTACAATTAAAATTAAAACAGAAAATATAAAAATAAAATCAAATTCAATATATTAGCAAAAGCTACAGTAGTATATTAATAATGATACTAAAATATACAAAATATACAATTATTTTATATATTTTATGTTTTTTAAATATATTTTATATATGTATCTCTTCATTTTTTTTCTCTAAGGCTGTATATTGTCTTTTTTATTATATGCATACTGAAAATATGCAGGTATGTTATGGCGCATATAACAAAACATTTTACAAATTTAGTGCAAAAAAGTAGATTGCAAAAAAGCAATGGTTAAAAGCTGGTGTGTGTGTGTGTGTGTGTGTGTGTGAGAGAGAGTGAGTGTGAGTGTGTGTGTGTGTTGTGCGTGTGTGTGTGTGTGTGTGTGTGTGTGTGTTTAGGTTGACTGAGTGATCACATAGCCATATCTACTCTGACACCGCGCTGAACACGTCCTGTCAAAAACTGCTTTAATATTTAATGCATGTGTGAATACATTAGGCAAGGAGTCTGATAACAGTCACACCTGCAGCTCTTTCACAAACTCATTCACTCCACAGCATCTGTGTGTGTTCGATCTGTTAAAAGCATGTTAGAATAACTGAGAGACAAACATCAGCACAATACATCCAGACTCTGGAGGTGTACTGTAGTCTGTACGACTGTAATCTGCACATGTGTGAGTGAAATATGAGCCGCTGTCCTGTGTGTGTGACTGACTGCAGTCCCGTGCGCCACCTGCTGTCTGCACTGCAGAACTACACAACCAACTCAAACCACTGCATTCAGTGCTGTCAATCTGTTATTAAAACCTTGTGGATTTTAGATAGAAATGATTACAGTAATAATCTAGTTTCTCATTGCCTCTCTGTGCATTTTTATTATATTATATATGGTTTATTTTACATTTATTTCTAAATCTTTTTCATTTCATTATTTTATGCGTGCATTCATGTTGGAAATATTATAATTTATATTATATTCAATATTGTTCATTTTATATTTATTTTAATGTAATTTTAATTTCAATCATTTATGCATGCGTTCATGTTGGAAAAATATTTTATTTTAGTTTTTATATAATATTCATTTCTGTCATTTATGCATGCATTACTGTTGGAAGAAATCCTAATTAAAACCTAAAGCAAATGTATTTTAGATATGAATGAGTTTCTGGTTTTATCTCTCTGTACAGTGTCTGAAGCTCCGCAGCGCACCGTGTTTTTGCCGTCGGTCATCGTGAAGGAAGGTTTCCTGCAGAAACACAAAGCCGAAGGACCTCAGCTGCTCAAACGCTTCGCTTTTAAGAAACGATATTTCTGGCTGAGCTCAGAGACGCTGTCGTACGCCAAGAGCCCCGACTGGCAGGTCCAACACGCTTTCCTTTCTTCTCTGTGTGTGTGTTTTATGAATGGAGTGTCATTAGCTGTAGGTTCATTATCATCTCTTGGCTTCTGATGTTGGGAAAGTGCTGAGGTGAGACGTGTGTGTGTGTGTGTGTTTGTGTGTGTGTGTGTGTGTGTGTGTGTGTGTGTGTGTGTGTGTGTGTTGAGTGATCACATAGCCATATCTACTCTGACACCGCGCTGAACACGTCCTGTCAAAAACTGCTTTAATATTTAATGCATGTGTGAATACATTAGAGCTCCAGAACGTCATGCAGGTCATTACACAGGACACAGACGGACAACTACACACCACATACCTGCAGTGCAAGGTGACACGAAACACACACAAACACTAACACTAACACACACACACACACACACGCACACACACACGCACACATACACACACACACACACAGACACAGACACACAGAGACACAGACACAAATGTCCTCATAAGTCACCTTCTCCTTGTCATACCCATGTCATTATAAAAATTTGTGTCCTCATATGTCGCGCACACACACACACACACAACTCTGCATAGCTATCTTTGTGAGGACATTCATGCAATCTCTAGCTCCTTACCCTAAACCTACCCTTTACCCAATTATAACCTGACCCCTAAAACCAAGTCTTGACCCTCAAACAGGCCTTTAAAGGGCTCTCAGAATGTGAGGACCAGCCAAAATGTCCTCACACACACACACACACACACACACACAAACTATCCCTTTAAGGGATTTGTATCTGTGTATACTTTCTGTCTTTCTTTTTTCTGTGTGTGGTTTTCATAACTTTACTGCCTTAATGATTTGATGTTTTGTACGGTTTAATAAAAAAAACAAAGAAAGAAAGAATCAGAAATAAAGATTTGCGATGCGCGCTCCGAAGTCCGGATCTGAATCAAATGATTCGCGATACGTGAACCGATTGGAGAGCTTCGAATCATTTTGCGACGCAATGGTTTAACTGATTCAGAGATTCGAAAAGCTCACTTTCAAGGACGTACTTTTGTAGCTCATCTACTCGAACCTCTCAGCTGATATCAAATGCATGACCTTTTTCAGATGCGGCCGAAATTATAACAACAGTAATTCCGTTTTGATCAAACAGTATTAAATTGTTTGATCAAAACTATTGCTAGGGACAATTTAGTATTGGTATGTCTATCGTCCCTGCTAAATTCTATGCTCTTATTATGATATAAATATGAGACAAAACCTCCTACAGAGGCATTTGTTTGTCCCTGCATCATGTTTGTCAACAGTCAACTGTATGAAATGTAAGAATAATAATAATAATATATATATATATATATATATATA